AACAATTCATACGATTAACAGCGGTTAAATTTTATGAGAACTGAGAATAATTTCTTCTCGTCGTTATTATAATCTACGTTTAATTTCATTTAGAACGAGGAAAAAAGAAAAAAGGAAAAGAAAAAAAAGAAAAAGTAAAAAGAAAAATTCAATGAAGTCGATAAAATTGATAGATTTATTTTTCAATATTCTTCTTTTTCTTCTTTTTATTTATAATAAATCACGAATTTTAATGTCGTGTCTCTTTTATGGTACTATAATGCTTAACGTCATGTCTTAGAAATGCATTTGTTTCCCTGCCAAGGGGTAGTAAAGCCGACTATCGAATATACCCCATCCCCATGCATTATTTCGAGACTTTGGCATTCTCTTTCGCCTTCAAATATATCTTATTCTATGTATTTTTGAAAGTCTTACACCTATGAGAAAGAGAAAAAAAGAAATACAACTCTTAATCCTATCAAAGGATATCGAGATAAAATAGATCTCTATCTCCATTGTCTGTGAATAGCTTAAAACATAAAAATAAGATGAAATAAAATAGAAGTATTATATAGCACTCGAGAAAAAGATTGAAAATTTCTATATAAATAATAAAGATTATATTTTTTATTTTTTTTTTTTTTCGAGTATCCCAAATTCTTCTTATTAAAATGGCTTCTTATTATTTTTAATTTTCTTCTTTTTTTTTTTTTTTTTTAATTTGTTATATCTTCTATCGGGGAAACAATACCTAGTAATATCGTTTGTTATTTGAAATTATCAAACGATACAATCGAAATTTTTAATATTTCATTTTTCTTTATTCTCATTGCCAATTATCATTTTATTATTAAATTCATTCGAATATTTATAAAAATTGTATAGAAATTAAAGGGGAAAAAGAAAAACTAGAATTAGTAAAGCCCTTTCTAATGTCGAGAGAAAAATTCATTAATTTCAATTTTTTAAAAATTATTAATAAAATCTATACGTCAATAATATAAAAAAATGTCTTTAGCTTTTTTATTAAAAGTTTATCAAACGATTCAATCGATTTCTTTTTAATCATTGATCCATCGATCATTCTTTCGATTGTCACTCATTAATTATATTCATATTACATCGAATGTTTACAACTAGAAATAAACAAACAAACGAACGAACGAACGAACTAAAAGCAGATAAGAAAGAAGAAAAAAAGAAAAGGAAATGGCGAAGCCCTTTTCTCTAATACCATAGACAATCTCTCCCCTTCATAAGTTTCACTTAAAGCCATTTAGAATAGCATGAACACAAATTTGTGTATTCGTGTGTTACATGATTTACATGTGACAAGTCAATGTCGCGTGTAGATCGTTTTTAGTCCTCTTTGGATTTGGGCGTCGTCGTCGTCGTAGTCGTCGTAGTCGTAGTCGTAGTCATAGTCGTCGTCGTTGTAGTCGTCGTAGTCATAGTCGTCGTCGTCGTAGTCGTCGACTTAGTCATCGTCGTCGACGTCGTCGTCGTCTAGTATCGAGCGTCCCGACGCCGGGACGCGCGAAGCTGTTGCCATGCCGACAGACGAAGCTACCAGGGCTTTCCCTATTCGTTCGCAGTGTCTCGGTTCACCTACTGATAGCTTCGAGTTGTGATCGAACACAAATTTGTTTTTTTTTTTTTTCAACATTTTATTGTTCGAAAAAAAGTATCTATCGAAAGAAAGAAAATCATCGTTTATTTTGTTCCTTGTACTTTTATTTAGCTTTTTTCTTTTTTTCTTTTCTTTTTTTTTCTGTTTGAATTATTTTATTCTTTGTAATTGTACGAAGTTGTCTTTTTTCATGTTATTTTTTTTTTTTCTTTTTTTTTTTTTTTTTTTTTTTTTTTTGTCAATCAAACATTCCAATCATCTTTGTTCAAGATTAATTACGAAATTGATTTTTCGAAAAGAAATTTCTGTGTGGATTTTTCAAGGATCTATTATCGAAATGAAGTTTTATCTTGTAAGATTAAAATAGAATATTAAAAAAGAGAATTTGATTTAACAGAGAAATAATCAATTTATCTGATATAAAATTTCTTTTTTTTTTTTCTTTTTTCTTTTGGAAGATATTTTCGAAATAGGATAAATCGAATGATCCTGAAGATCATTTTATTGAGAAGAGCAATAACTTTTTTTCTTTTTTTTTTTTTCTTTTTCTCTTAATAACTCTTAAATTTTCATTCATCATTAATCTTAAATCGATTCATTCATTCATTTATTTTTTTATAACAATCTTCTTGCATTGTATATTTCACAAAAATATTCTAATCATTAGATTAAATTAATATACTGTGTAATTGTATTAATAATTTGTAATGGTATTCAAATATAGTTGCAGACAGTTAGTTGATTTATGCAAATAGACGGGAAACTTCTTACTAGATATTAGATACAACGGCACCATCTGTTTAATCATCTCTCTAATACAATTCTAAACTTCTCTCCGTTGGTAAAGTAAAATCTAACATTCTAGTCTTCGCCTCGATCGGGGTAAGA